CTGATGGCTGCAGACCTCCAAGGTTGGTCACTCAGCTGCATTTCACCAGTTGGCCTGATTTTGGCGCACCCCTCTCCCCTATTGGCATGCTTAAGTTCCTCAAGAAAGTCAAGACTGTGAACCCTGCCCACGCTGGACCAATCATAGTGCACTGTAGGTAAGACTGCTGGCTATTCTTAAAATATATTTGCCTACAGACTAAGGGGTCATTCACACAGAATGCATTTTCTATTGCCCTGTGGTACTTTTCCATTAGGGCTGCACAATTAATCGAATTTCTAATCGCAATTACAATTATGGATGCCACAATTACGTAATCGTTCAAAGCGGCAATTAATCGTTCAAAGTCCACTTATGTTATTCTGCACGCTTAAGATATGTTTTTTTCTTTCTACATGTTATCTTAAGGGTTTTTCCATTGTTTTAGTTTTAGTATAACATTATAATGCCATTCATATTTGTACTTTTTTTATCATTTAAAGAAGAAACCAATCCGATGTATATTTGACATTTGAGGCTTAATACTATAGAAAAGCACTAAAGGTTTTTCAGTTAGAGTGTTTTCAGCTTGTTTATTTTCATATAAAAATACGGCATGCAGTTGCATCAAACAATGGTATAAACATCATTCAATGTAAATGGAGATAATCGTAATTAATAATCGCAATTACAATTTCAAGGGAATAATCGACAATTATTTTTGTCATAATCGTGCAGCCCTATTTCACATTGTTTTTCTATGTAAATGCGCTAGATGGATGAGTTTGACCGTCTTGTGTCTTTTTGCAGTGTCTCGCACATGACGTAGTGTTCTAAAAACGCAGCACTCAAGTTAAAAGTTCAACTTTTAAAGACCTTTTGTTTTGAGACCTTTTGATTTTCCAATTCCACACATTCTGTGTGACAGGCCCCTAAGAAAAGGAATGTATATAATGTGTTATATACAACAGTCAATTAGATCTATAGGGATGCCTTTCAGCATGCTAGTGAGTTAAGAGCTATTTATTGGACAAAACAATTGAAACCGTGAACATTTCAACTATAAAACAGTCTGAAATGCAAAGTATGCAGAAACAACCACCAACACACACATCTTAAGGCTCAGCTGTTAAACGGCCCCCTCATGTGGGATTGTTAACGCCTCAGCCAGAACCACCAGAATTTCCCACTTGTTAAAGTGTGAAAAGTCCCTCATTGCAGTGAAATGGCAAACTATAACTTTTTCTGGTATGCTATACAGTAAAAACCTGCAATGTTCACAGCATTTTGAATGTTAATATAAAACTGATCCCATGTTTAATTGAACTGAGATAATTATCTAGCCCAAAATAGTAATTCAAATGGAAAAACCCTGCCGTTTTTACTACATTGTCTCATTATCCCTCATTTCATGCCCTACTTCACATTTCACGACTCATCTCATTTTCTCTCTGTATAGCGCTGGGGTTGGCAGGACTGGGACGTTCACTGTGATTGACGCAATGATGGATATGATGCACGCTGAAGCGAGGGTGGACGTGTTCGGCTTTGTGTCCAGAATAAGAAAGCAGCGCTGTCAGCTCATTCAAACAGATGTAAAGGAATTTCTGCAGTCCCTCTGCTGTGTTTGACTCATTTCAGCAGTGACTGGCCGCTGATATTCCTCTCTTTCGCCCACAGATGCAGTATTCGTTCATTTACCAGGCACTTTTGGAGCATTACCTGTATGGTGACACAGAGTTAGACATCGCTTCTCTGTAAGGCCACCTCCACAAACTCCACAACACACACACACAAATGGACCGAGTGGGTCTGGAGGAAGAATTCAGAGTAAGAACCACATCAGTTACACTTATTATAGGATTTGCTAAGCAATAGCATGGAATGATCTCATGATTTACTATGAACATACAATGACAAAAATGAAGTGTTCTTTTTAACACATTGTTTTGTTTGGAATTTCCTCAGAAACTGACTAATGTCCGCATAATGAAGGAGAACATGAGAACCGGAAATCTGCCAGCCAACATGAGAAAGAATAGAGTACTACAGATCATCCCATGTGAGAAGAGGGATATATATTTATATAAAAAGATTAATCACTTTCTTTCTTTCTTTCTTTCTTAATGTAATCGTTATCCTGTCTTATTACCAGATGACTTCAACAGGGTAATATTATCAATGAAAAGAGGGCAAGAATTCACAGACTACATTAATGCATCTTTCATAGATGTAAGTATATGTTTCATAAAAATGTTTACATATTTTATATATATATATATATATGTATATATTAATATATTTATTGATAATTAAACAGAACATTGGGAAATGTACTCATAACACTATGGTTTACCTTTGCAGGGTTATAGGCAGAAGGATTACTTTATAGCAACTCAGGCACCTTTAGCTCACACTGTGCAGGACTTCTGGCGCATGGTATGGGAGTGGAAGTGCCACTCCATTGTCATGCTTACTGAGCTGAAAGAAAGAGAACAGGTACAGTGTAACGGTTTATAATATTTATGCATTAATCAACATAAAGAAACATGCAGTTACTCTTCCAAATTTCTATGTCCAAAGTATTCACGCATTCATTCCTTTCCAACAACTCTCACTTCAGGAGAAGTGTGTACGTTACTGGCCAGCAGAGAGCAGTGTTTCATTTGGAGAGTATGTACTGGAGCTGAAGAGAGACACACTTTGTGAGACTTTCAGCATTCGAGACATGCTGCTGTCATATGCATCAGTGAGTTAAACGTGCAGTGAATTTGACCATTTTATTGTCCATCACACGCTTCACTTAGGAGCTTCCTTTATTTTGCTCAAATTGATGCTAAATTGGGCTGTTTGCAGGAAAAGCAGACCCGTCTAGTCAGACAGTTCCACTTCCATGGTTGGCCAGAGATTGGAATCCCATCAGACGGAAAGGGAATGATTGACATTATTGCTGCAGTGCAGAAACAACAGCAACAATCTGGAAACAACCCTATAGTGGTGCATTGCAGGTACTCATACACTCTCTATATCACTTACACACACACACAGTCTTTCATATTGTTCAACGGATTAATTTTTTTTGTATAAAGTTTGTAAAACCTATCATAAAAGTATGTTTTGGGGGGCTGGGAACATCAGTGCTGGTGCTGGTCGAACTGGAACCTTCATTGCCCTCAGCAACATCTTAGAGCGGGTCAAAGCCGAGGGGTTACTGGACGTATTCCAGACCGTGAAGAGTTTACGCACTCAGAGACCACATATGGTCCAAACTGTGGTAAGAATGTGAAACACTATGCATAGTTCACATAGATCTGATGGCTTCACTATTTTATTATAATATGGAAAATAGCAATAATAATAAAATAATAGAGAATGAGTAGGTATTTTGGCTTTTGACTGTCATTGTGTGAATTATGATATAATGAGGTTCCATTTGTCTTTTCAGGAACAGTATGACTTCTGCTACAGAGTTGTGCAAGATTTTGTTGACATCTACTCTGACTATGCTAATTTCAAATGAGTGCAGCTTACCAACACACATTTATATTATATTTAAACTGAAGAATTTTACTGTGGCTTAGTGACCTCCATGCACTTGACATTTTCCTATTCTTGTTATATGCAGTAAGGTAATATTTTGGAAATGACCAGACTCCAGTGGCTTAACCACGTCAAGTTTTTGCATTAAGTTTTTGTTACATTTGTTTAAGTATTCAGTATGAAAAAAAAATTTTTCTTTTAATTTGACCATAATATTTAATTTGTACATTAACAAATTTTGTTTTCTACAAAGTTATTTTTTCTTTAAAAATTGTTCACAAGAGTGTAAAGCATTCCATTCTCAGTATTTGTTCCTTCTATTTTTCCTCCAGGTTGATTCCCAGAAAAATTCTGCATGGTTATTTGTGTGCACCAGTGTACTAAAAGTAATTAAGAAACTTTCAAATTTGAATTGTATGGCAATTCTTGGCCAGACTCTAATTTGCATCAGCCCTGATAAGTCACTTATGCCATATACCTGCTCTTCACCTCAACATCACCTTCACAACCTGACTGAGATGTCCAACCACTTAATGAACTTTTAGCAGTCTTTAAGGATTCTGTGATGATAATGCTGTTTATTCCTATGACTTTTCAAGCCAATAAAATACCCAAGAGGCTCAAACTGTGACAGGGATACATATATGGATTAAAGCATAAAACATTCAAAGGAAGTAATAAATCCACAATGATATTGGGTTGAGGAATTAATACATACCATAAACAGGTTTAGTGACATCTGTGAAACAACAAAGGAATAGTTTTCTTTCATTATTCCCTACAAACACTAAATAACTTGTGTGTTTTTGTCTGCTTGTTTGAACAAGGTCAGGTAAAAAAAAAAAAAAACTCATCTGTGCTGTCACTGCAGTGACTGCGAGAAATTAGAAAATGAGGAAAGACATGCCTTAATCCTGAATAACACCATTTTCTGCAATAAATGTTTCAATACTTGTGCCTGGGTGTGTGTGCGTGTGTGCAAATTATTTTACTATAAAAAGTCAATATAAGCAGCTTTTAATAGCTGCATACTAGTTTTGCAGGTTGTAATACACACCACTTTGCATTTGATATTGTTAATGCACAACAGGTTTGTAGTGCACACTATGTAGTACATCAGTTGTACTGTAAATTACAACTGCTGACAGCAATTTGTCCCTCGATAAAGACGTTTTACCCATAAAGAAATTAATAATAGGCTACATGAAACATGTTTCATGTCCACTCACACGAGATGAAGACTAGGTAACCTAATACAAAAGCGCCTTCATGTCATACTAGTGTATTTTAGTGTACATGTCTTTTTATAATTACATTTTAAGTGTTGTTAATTTCTTTATTTGTAAAAACGTAGTAATTAGCAAAATAATAATAACAATAACAAAAGTGAGTGCACCTTTAAGACTGTAAAATGAGAGAAATCCAGCTTTCTCAAGACACACCCAAAACCACTGGGCGTGGTCTGCGTCCTGTGATGAGTCCACAGCATACTTCTAGCATCGCTCTATGGCGTCCACAACACTGAACGTAGCGATCGAAAGTCCCAAAATGCTACAGAAAATGGCCTTTGATAGTTGAAGGCCGTGTTTTGAGTTGTTTATTAAAGCTCTGAATATGGAGAACACTGTACGAACAGCTCCATGTCATACGTTCTTCTAGTGACGCAGAATTTATGGGTTCGCTGGGTCGCGAGGAAGAATAAAGAGAATCTTGAGGACTCCCGCTGGATCGATGCACAAATTGGATAATCAAATAGCTCCTCGCTAACCGTACGGAATTGGAGGATGGCTGGAATTATTGGGAACAGTTCAACATCTGGAATGGGTGACATCATCCAGCTGAATGTCGGAGGAACGAGGTATGCTGAAGTCATGACTTCTTTACATGAACTCGGAGTCAAAACAGTTTTATTTGAGATCAAAGGCTCCGTCACTGCGGCGGATTTTGACTTTGATGTGACGCCATGAGCCTTAACATGTAACGGTAACATAGTGTGTCCGCTAATCATGTTTTAAACTATAAAGCACATTTTGAGCTCAGACTACACGTCTTGAACATTACTATAACTGTTATTACGTTACATTATGCGAGTAAGACTATTCAGTTCCTTATTTCATGCCCAGCTTTTACATGTTCTACAAGATGTCATCAGAATGTCCAAAAACCTCTAAAATAGCATCATAATTGTATTAAAAATATAAACAACTGAAGAAATACCCTAGTTAATACTATAGTTATTTAAGTTACTATATTAAAACTGCATTAAAAATAAATAAATGACAATGACATTGAACGCTTCTTACTGTAACTGTAAACTGGATGATAGATAAGCTCACCCAGTAAAAGAGAAATGAGAAGTGATTGTATCTAAAATCTTATCTACATATTTTCAGATTTAGCACGTCAAGGCAGACTCTGACATGGATTCCTGACTCTTTCTTCTCAAGGTAAGATAAGATGTCTGAAGCAGCAGCACCACAGCCTTGATGTTTTTCTGCTCAAGTTTTTTTTTTTTTTTTTTTTTTTGGACTGGGAGGAAGTTTTGAGTTCTGAAAGTTGAAATATGCTACATCAGTCTTAATAGTTTAAGGGAAAATTTGATTTGTCATGATTTGTACACTTTAATAGAAATTCCAGAATGATAACACAGAGATCCTCTTTGTATGCATATTTGTTAAACCTCTATCAATTCTTCTTGAATAATAAAACTAATGCAGTTGTTGTGTTATGGACATTGCATAGCTTTGTTTGTGTAAATGTGTTTTGTGCCTAGTTTACTTAGTGGAAGGATATCAACACTACGGGATGAAACTGGAGCCGTGAGTAGAAGTCCTAAAAAACAGTTGTACCATTTATTGTGGGTTGTTTGTTAAAAAAATGATCATTTAAAAGTTTTCAGATGCAATAAAATTAGAAATGTTATCCAGCTCTGAATTAGATCTTTTCTTTTCTATAAGATATTCATTGACAGAGACCCAACAGCATTTGCACCCATTTTAAACTTTCTTCGAACTAAAGAATTAGACTTGAGGTGAGATATAACATATGCCTAATTGTTATCCATTACATATCCCCAAAATATATAGTTTGACGTGTCTAATATACCTGCTTTCTCTGATAGGGGGGTTAACATTAGTATCCTGCGACATGAGGCAGAGTTCTATGGTATTAGACCCTTAGGTATGGCATAACTGGAGTGGATATATTTATTAAAGGGGTCATATGATGCTTTTTTAAAGATCATTATTTGGTGTATTTGGTGTAACAGAATATGTTGACATGCTTTAATGTTCAAAAAACACATTATTTTTCAAATACTGTACATTATTGTAGGTCCTCTATGCCCCGCCTCTCTCAAACGCTTCGTTTTCTACAAAGTCCCTCCTTCCGACAAGCGCAGTCTGCTCTGATTGGCCAGCTGACCCAGTGCATTGTGATTGGCCGAACACCGCAAGCACTCGTCGGAAATGTAACGCCCCTTACCATAATTGCGAGATTCATCTTTCATTGAGCAGCAAACACACAGCAGTTCTTCTGTTCTCCTAACAGATACGGCAGTTTCTCCTGGTTTGAAAGAATTTGAAATGTGTGATGGATCTGCTGTATTTTATCATAGAACACTGTCCGTTCTGTTAGGAAGTGCAGTTCTGTTTCCAATATCTCTTTGGTTTTGAGACTTTAGTCTTTGCAACTTCAGGGATCTTATCTATGCACAATCAGCGTATAACACTCCAAAGAGAAAGGAAAACTTGAAATCGCATCATATGACCCCTTTAAAAACTGTTGACAGTAAAAACAAATGTGAGTGAATTAGGTGCAGCACCTAATTTATACATGTATAATTCTTACCTTCCGTTTCTGTTTGTCACCGATATGGTTAGTCCGACGCTTACTGCTTTGTGAAGAACGGGAGCGATCATCATGTGGAAGTGTGTTGTTTCATGGCTACCTCCCTCCACCAGGTAGGGTGAGAGTAGATCTGTAGAAGAAGGAGAAAAAAGAGTCACTGTTTCATCCTCTGTGCCAAATATAACACATCAGGATGAGGCTGGTATTTTTGTCCTTCAGCTCTCCCAGCGCGGAGCAGTGTAGGTGGGAAGGCTGCAGCTGTTGCAGGTCCAGAGGAGCGCTCAGGCCCCAGTGGCGCGGAGGGGGGTTACCCACGTTCCTGCCCTCAGTCTTCTCTCCCTGGACCCTCTGGGGTAGATGGACCTGAAACAAGAGTAAACAAGGGGGAAAAAACAAGAATTTCCACTGAGCATGAATATGATCTCAGATATTCTCCGTTTGTGTTAACAGTGTTTATAAACCTTGTTATGTAATATTTTTAATAATTTTATTGTGGTTTTTGAAATGTAGGAGAACTATAGAACTGGGTTGGCCATAGCTGTCTCAATGCAGACTGGAGAACAGTATGTGCTTCATTCTGGTATGGACAGGCGGAGGGGTGGGGGTGCCATGAAGACAAAGTATTCCCCTTACAAGCAGTGGTGCAGTATGGGTGAAGTCATCGTAAAAGGCCTTTTATATCCTCTGTGCCCAGCGAAGTCATGTGAGGAGAATGATGAAAGAGAGATGGAGAAAGCAAGTTAATGGACAGGCCTTCCTTTTAACCATTTTATTGCATTTTGGTGCATTTATATATCGCAGGGCAACATTTACTGAGTTCACATCACAGAGAATTTGGATAATAATTGTATAATAATTGACAGAACAGAAAAAAAATGAAATATGTGTTTGCAGAGGATTTGTTGTAATGGTAGAAAAAGAAAGTGACGATAGCCACTAAAAACAGGCAACAGCCAGTATTTAAAAAAATATAAAAACAACACATAATGAGCTTCTTGTTGTATCATATTATTAATTTTTTTTACATACATTTGAAACTTATTACTTGTTTTTAATAATATTTACTTCAATACTATGGAAGTCAATGGCTACCGTCAACATTTCAGCCTACGTGTGTTTCAACATACTAAGGTATTGTTTTGGATTTTTTTTCTATTACAATAGGATCACCAGTGGACCCTAGGAAGGTGCTGATTGTCGCTGGCCATCATAACTGGATTGTAGCTGCTTATGCACATTTTGTCATTTGCTACAGGTAAAGCTACAGCTCACATGACTTTGAAATATAAAATAATAAGAGTTATACTCACCATTGGTAGACTGTGATTGTTATTTAGGATAAAGGAATCATCAGGCTGGCAGCAGGTGTTTTCCAGCCCTTACCTGGACTGGGCCATAGAGCGGGTGGCCCTCAATGCAAAAGTCATGGGCGGCCCACATGGAGATAAAGACAAGATGGTGGCAGCGTCATCAGAGAGCCGCATTATATTGTGGAGTATCCAGGATGGAGGGAGTGGAAGTGAAATAGGTGGGAGGACAGAACAAAAATGAAATGCGAAGTCACTCATATGTGTCTATTTTGTGAGATGATGTTTCTTTGTCTTTGTGAAGGTGTGTTCAGTCTTGGAGTACCTGTTGACTCTCTGTTCTTCATTGGGAGTCAGCTGGTCGCCACCAGTCACACGGGGAAGGTGGGAGTGTGGAATGCCGTCACCCAGCACTGGCAGGTAAAGCTATTTAAATTTTATACTACATGCAAACATATTATCAGGGTTCATATTTGATTACTTTATTTGCAATATATCACTTGTACAGGTGCAGGATGTGGTGCCCATCACAAGCTGCGACACTGCTGGCTCCTTCCTCTTGCTGGGCTGTAACAACGGCTCAATTTACTATATTGGTAAGCTGCTTATCTTCTTCTAGATTGCATTGAATTTATTTTTAGATGACGTGAGTCGTTAATGAAACACTACCAAAAGTTTGGGGTCAGTAAAATGTTTGTTAAAGAAATTAATGCATTTACTTAGCAAGAATGCATTACATTGATCAAAAGTGACAGTAAAGACATTTATGTTACAAATATTTCTATTTTGCATGAATGCTGTTTTTTTTAAACTTCCTATTATCAGAAATAATGATACATGGTTTTCCATAAAAATATTAAGCAGCACAACTGTTTTCAACATTGATAATAATAATAAATGTTTCTTGAGCACCAAATCAGCATATTATATTGATTTCTTAAGGATCACGTGACACTGAAGACTGGAGTAATGATGCTGAAAATTCAGCTTTGCTATCACAGGAATACATTAGGTTTTAAAATATATTAAAATAGAAATTTAATTTCAAATTGTAATAATATTTAACAATATCACTAACAATATTACTGTTACTCCATTCAAAAACATAAAATCTTTTGAACAGTAGTGTATTTTAATTTTGAGTTTACTGTATTTAAATATGTACATTGCAAATGTATTAAACCCATTTTACGTTTGAAATGTCACCACTGTAACATTTGAAATACCTCTAATATGTACTGCGTAATATGTTAAATGAGAAGATGATAAAGGAAAGACTTAACCATTTTCTCTCCACTCTCAGACATGCAGAAGTTTCCGCTGAGAATAAAGGACAATGACTTGTTGGTGACGGAGCTGTACCACGACCCATCGAATGATGCCATCACGGCCCTCAGTGTCTACCTGACTCCTAAAACCAGTACGTCCAACGATGGTTAATTAGTCTAACTAGGAACAATGAAGTGGTGAGTCTGACCAGTCACTGATCTCACAGGTGTGAGTGGGAACTGGATTGAGATCGCATATGGAACCAGCTCAGGGGCCGTGCGTGTCATCGTGCAGCATCCAGAGACTGTTGGATCTGGTCCACAGCTCTTCCAGACCTTCACTGTCCACCGCAGCCCTGTCACTAAGATTATGCTCTCTGAAAGGCACTTAGTTTCCGGTAAAAACTACTCGGAAATAGGACGATATAATGCAAAATGTTGGTGATCTATAAATTCGGTCTGTTTTTGTTGAAGTGTGTGCTGACAATAACCATGTACGCACATGGACGGTGACGCGCTTCAGAGGCATGATCTCCACTCAGCCAGGATCTACTCCGCTGGCCTCCTTTAAGATCATCTCACTGGAGGAGACAGAGAGCCATAGTAGCTATTCCTCTGGCAATGACATCGGTGAGAGACTTGTAAGGCTTGTAGCTTTCCACTGTATCGGTACAAACAGAACTGAAAAGCTGCTATTGTCCTCCATTATCCTGTGAGCTTAACTGCTGTTGTAAGCAAACCAATAAAATATCACTTCATCTGCTGTTTCTATTCAGGTCCATTTGGAGAGAGAGACGACCAACAGGTGTTCATTCAGAAAGTCATTCCTATTACCAACAAACTCTTTGTTCGCCTCTCCTCTACGGGAAAAAGGTACATTTTGAGACACATTTCATTCTTAGACGAGGTGCACACTGCATAATATGCTGAATAAATATCTCATTATTCACTGTTGCCCTAACATTGTACGTGTACTATTAAAAATGGTGACTTAAAGAGATAATCCAAACAAAAATTTAAATTCTGTCATTTTTTACCAATCCTCATGTCATTTCAAACCTGTATGTCTTTCTTTGTTTTGTGGAACATGAAGATATTTAACATTTATTTGTTTTATACATTTATTAATCTTTTTATCCCTGTATTTCAGGATCTGTGAGGTGCAGGCTGTAGGTGGCACCACCATCACGTGTTTTACAGTGCGAGATTGTGAGGGCTCGAGCCGCATGGGCTCCAGACCCCGCCGTTACCTCTTCACTGGCCATGCAAACGGGAGCATTCAGATGTGGGACCTCACCACTGCCATGGACACGGTCAACAAGAGTGACGACAAGGCCAAGCGGGAACCAGGTCTGATTATTACTGTGGACAAAATAAGGAAAATAAATTGTCTATTTGATAAAGTTGTGAAATGATGTTACCTGTCTGCAGAGGTGGGAGGTCCAACTGAGGAGGAGCTGCTGAAGCTGCTTGACCAATGTGATTTGAGCACATCTCGCTGTGCCACGCCCAACATCAGCCCCGCCCCCTCTGTGCTGCAGCACAGCCGGCTGCGAGAGTCCTGCTCCAGGTACTGTAGTCCAAAGGCTTATTCACAAATCTGAATTTTAAAACAAGTCAAAGTTTAAAACTTCAGTCAAAGTCTGAAATATTGTAGTGCAGTGATTTGGAGGCTAGTTGAACTTCTAATTGCTCAGATTCTGATTTTGCTGTCATTCTGGTATTCAAGCTCAAACAGTGATAAAATTCAGCACATATGAATAGCTTTGGTATAAAAAAAAGTTCACGTTTTATATTGATGTAAATAGACCTTAAAGGGATAGTATACCCAAAAATGTAAATTTACTCCATAGTGACCACAGCTGTCAAAACAGCCATAAAACGGTGTGACTGATGCTATATTCCAAGTCTTCTTTATGTGAAGAGACCAAAAAGTTTGTTTTTCACACACAAATCTTTGAAGACACATATTAAAAAAAAAATTACAAATGATTATGGCAAACACAAAAGATTCCCTTTCATGGGAACTTCGAACTGCGTCCTCTAGGGGTCGCTATGGGGAACGCCTTGTCGTGACCCGTGTCTGAAGCATACATTGAAAAAACACCAACTCGTTGGCCGGCGACAGCCATGACGTCACTACCGGTGTGACTAAAGTATAAATAGGCGCCGGGAGCACACATCATTCTCTTCTTCGTCTTCATTGACTGTTTTGTTTGAAGCGTGCATTTCCAAGGAAAAAGTAAGAGCTATCTCTATTTATTATGGCGAGCACTAGCAGAGCATTTAGAAGGTGTGTGCATCCGTGTCATCGCTATTTGACATCAGATGACACACACGATCTATGTGTTGTTTGTTTGGGCAAAGAGCACGCACGCGATGCCTCCGAGGGGGCAATCGGCGAGCACTGCGAGCATTTTTTCCAAGGGGAAAAAGCTCCGCTCTCGTTGTCTCTTTTTTTCGAGGAAAGAGGGGCAGCCGTCTGCTTCCCGCGATTCAGGACCCGCCGCTGCTGAGGCACGGAAGGGAATGAGCTCGTGGGGATCGCAGGTGGATCTGGCCGTGAGTTTAAAGGGGGGTTTCCTTTTCGCGATCGTCGGCTGTGCACGAGAGTGAGCC